TTCGGTACTTTCCCTTTTATTAGAGACGACCAACACTCCGAACAAATATCGCAGTGTATCGAATATCGTTTTTTTTTCTCAACAGTTTTATGCAATCCTGCTTCATAAAAAACGATACCGTTTACATAAGTAAACGCCTGTTTATTCATTGTTGATTGAGCATGCGTATCTATAATTAAAAAAATTATTTACTGTATTAGTTTACGTATTAGCGAGACTAACCTGCTGCTCTTTCTTTCTGAATCAACGCCTTGGCAAGATCACCACTCATGTTAAGCTTATCATGTGACTGGAATTGGTACGTTTTCTGCATTCCCGGAATTATGCCATAAAAATCATCGGGTACTTTCAGTAATTCAGTAGACGGTATATTAATGAACGGTATGCGGCGGAGATCACGTTTATAGCAATGAACGTTACAAATACTGCAAACATCTTCTTGCAGAGAACTCATTGACATATGTTGAATAAAGTTCTTTAGACAGTTTTTCTTACGTTCAATATCAATAGTTTTTGGCTATTCAAAGTCGTTACTTTCTTGTTGGTGCCTATCACTTTTTCGAAGGCACTTTCTTTGACGAACAGATGCGCGCAGACGTTGGAGTTCATCAGATGTGTAAGGCGCTCGTCTTGCGGTACTTCTTTTGCGAGCTACCACGCGCTGTTCTTCAGCTTCGTTTGGCGACGTTGTAGCTCGTTTACTCCTAGTTCGTTCAGTAGCAAGTGTTTGTTGTAGCTGGGTTTCTTTCGGTGTAAGAGTAGCTCTCCATGCTACAACTTTCTCACGAGCTTGCTCTCGTTGTTTTTCGATTTCTTTCAATGTTAAAGCAGCTCTTCTAGCTGAGCTTCTGTCTCGGGCCACAGTACGTTCACGATCAACTTGTTCTGGTGTTAAGGCAGCTCTTCTAGCTGCACTTCTTTCTCGCACAAGGGTACGCTCTCGTTCAGCTTGTTCTGGTGTAAAGGCAGCTCTTCTGACGGCACTTTTTTCCATTACAAGCATCCGCTGTCTTTCAGCTTCCTTCGATGTAGCTTGAGCTCGTTTAGCAGCCATCCTTTGACAAGCTTGTAGTCATCTCTTGTCAATATTCGTGTTCTCCATGATCGTGTGAGTCTCACTTGCTTGTAGTCTTCGTTTAGTCCGAGGAGTTGTTGTGGCTTCCTGGTTTATCGTGGAATACGTCGATGACATTTGAAATTGTTGACCTTCGTCATCCTTCGCATTAAGTTCAGGAATGCGAACTTGAGTTAGTACATTATTCTTCGTTGTTAATTTAGTTGGCTTCTGTAAGTGAAAGTGCATTTTTTTTCTGTAAAAAGGTCTGCACTAAAAGATTGAACTCATCAAGCCTGAACCGGCGACTTTAGGTTCAGTCAGGCTATTTTGATTCTGAGATTCACTCGACGGAAGTAAAAGTGGTACGAAATGATTAGATGTCCAATTACCAGCATTAGTTCTACGTGCTTCCGTTTCATTTTGAGCATGGGACCAGAATATATAAATTGTTTTAGATGAAATACTGGATTGAATATGCTGGAAAATACTATTTATGATGTCTAGATCGACTCGATAATCAATTCTCGGATATATAATTCGTATATTGCATTGGAGGACATTGCTTAAGGCTGCGATTTCATAAAGTTCCGAGAATGAAAAATTATGGGTGCCATTTTGTATCACCTCATTGAGTGGTCCAACAATATATGCAAGGTGATTGCTGTAAAGAGTTTCATTTTTTACGAGTTCTATTACAACTTAAACCAGAGATGTGCGGTCCACGGGGCCACGTGGCGGCGGGCGGGCGGGGAAGAAAAATTTAATGAAATGCGGGATTAACGGGGCACGGGTATTTTCCGGCACACGGGTGGGGGAGGCGAGGAACAAATTTTTAAAATGATAGGGGTCTCGGGCGGGTAAACTTTTTTTTTCGGGTGTGATGAAGGATCGTCAAACTTATCAAGAGATGTTGTTAGTGTAGGTATATATAGTACAAAGTACATATTGATTGGTTCATTGCTTTCATCCTATTATGTATAAGCTTGTCTGCTATTTGTTTCTTTCTATCTTTATCGTCTGTCGTGCACAGTTTCCACTATTAATTTATATTAAGTGAATAACTGGACTAATACTTATTTTATATTTAGAATTAATATTTGAATTTTCTTTTATCAATTACTATGATCGAATTACATGATTTATCTCTTGATGAATTACTTGATAGTACAACTTCGAATACTGATCGTTCATTTTCAATCATTTCTTCATCTCTTGGTCAATACTCATCGAGTAATGTTAAATATAATACATCAAATATAAAAATATTGTTAAAAGAATAACCAAAAAAATACGCGCTTGTCTACAATGACAAAGTGAATCATGCAAAACCATCTTCCTGTTGGAATCGATGTGCTGTTCCTGCTGTAAAAGATGAAAATAATCGTCATATTGTTATTAAAAATTTTGCAACGTGTCGATCTTGTTATGCAACT